GACCAAGGAGATAGCGGATGGCAAACTTGAGAAGATCAAGAGGGATATAAGTCACAACACTATAAAGCCAGATCACTCCAGCCCATCCCCAGCCAGTACCTTCTATATTAGCAAAACCCCAAATTCCATAGACTGCAATCAGGGTTGCTACCTGACAAGTTGAGAATTGTTTACAAAATTATTTCAAGATTTTATGCATTAATAAAGAAGAAAAAAGAAACAAGAAATAAAATAAAAACCATACCCAATTAGATATTGGAGAATTTTAATACGAAAGTTTCAAAACAGTGATCTCACATAAGCCTCAGAAAAGAACAAGAAAAAAGGGGATGGAGAGGTTGCAGAAACCTTGTAACCAAATAACATTTCCAAAAAACTAGAAGGGTTATGAATATGAAATCTTACCAGCTGAGCGACTATAAAAGCACTGATTAACAGAAGTCCGGGGCGTTCAACATAAGACCAGCTTCGGGATCGTGTCACAAAAATAAGGGCCTGGCTCACAATACTCACTTGAAGGTATAAAGCTGCCGTTATTTTCTGAACCGACTCACCATTATGCCACGGGCGGTAGAGGACCGTCTCACCATTATGCCACCAGTGGTAGAGAGTTACATGAAACTTGTCCTGTGGTATTGAAAAAGTTAAGAAAAACCATGAGAAATGTTACCAAAACATGAAGAGAAGATTGCAAGGATATTTACCTCGAAGAAAGTGGTGTTTGTTATAGCCCAGAAAAATAATACAGTCATGAATGCCAAGTATCCTCCAAGAACAATACCAGTAGTGAAAATCTCTCTCAGCTTCCAGCTGTCAGGCTGTAGAGATGGCTTCACTCTGTCTCTTGATATTGTCATGATTGTCACTATAGATATAGTGATGCAGGACATTAGATTCATGACTATTCAGAGTCAGTCAAACCCTTCTTGTACCAAACAAGACTAGTGACGGAAGCATATTATTAACAATAAAGAATGTCTCACCGTTATTTAGGATGGCAATAATTAAGACCATAAAAGGAGCAATGTCAAACGACCATCTCAAGGCAATAAACATGAAAGCAAACTGCGCAAATATAGGAACAAACAAATGTATTATATCCATATTTGTCAGCAAAAATGGAACACCAGTGGCATAATGTTCTCAAAGACAATTTCAGATATACTAACCACAATATGGATGGTGGCAGAAACAGCATAGATCTGCAAATTTAAAAGATCTGTGGTTATTACATATCAATTTTCTCCATGAAACAAGGAACAAGAGAATGCCAACAAAGGTAAACTAGAATATAACTGACTATGTAGTTCTGCATCCTTTGGTAAACAGCCCTGCTGGTTAGCACTGCACTTATAATGGCATTAAGCCCTGGTTCAGTAAGGACAATATCCGCTGCACTTCTAGCAGCATCTGAAGCATTGGCAACAGCAATTCCAATATCAGCCTTCTTCAAAGCAGTTGCATCACCATCTCCAGTCACACCACAGATATGTTTCCTCTCTTGCAGCCTCTTAATAATTTCATATTTGTGTTCTAGCATAGGCAGAAAAAAATTTGTTAGAAAGAGGAACCAGGGTAGTAACTTGAAAGGTGGATGGCCAGTAGTCAAAAAAATTTAAAATGCACACAAGTGACAAAATCCAAGAACTATTATACCGGAGGCAACAGTAAGTTTGACAAAAATCCAGTAATATCATTACTTTTTATGGAAACTTGATGTTATTAAGTCATTAGTGGTTTCTTTACTTAGAATGAAATAAAAAAAAGGTATATGTTTTTGTAGAAAATTTACAAATATATTAAACCACCTGGTAATACTCCAGCAAATCCATCTACCGTCTCAATGAACTCATTTATAGGGAAAGCAGCAGCCATTAAAGCATCCTTATCTTCAAAAAGCAGGGAGGAAGAAGGGTGCATGTTCGTTCCCATTCCAAGCCTCCTCCCAGTTTCTTCGGCGATGGCAAGCTGATCACCTAAATAATAAAACAAGGTGTGTATAACGTAAGGAGCGAGATAATAATCAATTTAGAATAAATAAACTTTTTGAACTAGAACTAAGTAAAATATTTAGTCTCACCAGTAATCATCTTAAAATCCACGCCAAGGACTTTAGCCATTCTAATGGTTTCCGCACTGTCATGCCTTGGAGGATCAAATAGAGGCAACAAACCAATAAGCTGCCATGGTTTCCCTGAACTATCTTTTGTCTTCTCAGGTATTTCCTGCAAAAATTAAGAAGTTAAAAAATAAAAATAAAAATAAAAAAAAGAAGAGAAAGAAAACAGAAGCATCATTAGCTCAATTTACTT